GACTTCGGCACAGGGGCCTGGTCCTTTCTGCGTCTCAGTGTTCCCGTCTGTAAAATGGGCACAATGATACTGGTTTTCTTCTTGTAGGACGGAGGGTGTAAAACGCCTGGCAGGGCATGGGAAGCACAAGAGGGTAACGGGCATCCCGATTAGTAATTGTAGCGGAGGGGGCGGGAGGAGGTTGAGGGTCGCACACCAGGTAAGAACTCCAGCCAGCAATGAATCCCTGGCTCTCAACTTACACGATGCTGCGTTCCGATTATGGGGACTGTCAGTTCTCTCTCTCTCTTTTTTTTAAAAAAAAATGTTTTTATTGATTTCAGAGAGGAAGGGAGAGGGAGATAGAGACATCCATGATGAGAGAGAATCATGGACCGGCTGCCTCCTGCACGCCCCCCACTGGGGACCGAGCCCACAACCCGGGCCTGTGCCCTGACTGGGAATCGAACCGGGACCTCCTGCTTCATAGGTCGAGGCTCAACCCCTGAGCCACGCCGGCCCGGCAGGACTGTTAGTTCTCTTAAAGGTCCATGTGTAGATACATCTTTGGGCCACGATCTTAATTGGAAAACAAGCGAGCGTCAAGTCATAAGAGCCCCCCTCTCACAAAGATGGGGCGCCTAGGAGACCCCTCCTTGCTCAAGAGTCTTCCCCCCTCGCCCTGCAACCTGGCAAACGCGTTAACGTTCACTCTTCTGTTCGTCTCCTTGCAGGTTTGGCCCCCACAACACCCACTCAGCAGCTTACAACAAGCCTCACCATCCCTACCACCACCACCGCAGGTGACAGCCTCACCCCCAGTCATGCAGCCACGGCACCCGCACTCGCCCGGGACGCGCTCACGGGAGGGCCCTTTTGTTGAGGGGTTCAATGGAGGGTCGTAGACCCCAGGGCGGGAATGGCAGCAGATGAGAACAGGAAAGGGTGTCTAGAATTCGGAGGATGCAATAACCTATTGTGTCCCCGTAGTAGCATCCCCCAGGAGTCGTGCTCCCGATGAACATGTCTGCAAACAGATAGAGGCCTCTTTAAGAGTAGGGTGAGGTGTGGGCGTGAGAAAAAAACAATTTCAGGTGATGGCTTGGTGGAGGCGTGAGCTCCAGCCACACAGCCTGGGCGGTGGGCAGAGGCAGGACCTCCAGGGTACAGCAGGCCGGCCGCCGAGGGGTGGGGACCCTGTCCGTAATCACCGGGGTTGAGCCTGCGAGGCCACCGCCTCCCACCGATTCTTCAGCTCAAAGACCCCACCAAGCACATTCCCACCCGGTCCTGTTCAATCCTTCGTTCACACGAGATGCGTCTCAATTGGTTGAGAGAGTGACTTATCGCAAAGAGCTTGCCACGGCCGAGCTGGAGAATGAAGCCACCCTTGCCTAGTTTCTGGCTCCCCCCGCCCCCCAACAAACGTGTCCAGAGGTTATCTCTCTATATAAAAGGCTAATAGGCAAAGTGTCCCTGCGGGAGTTCGACCGGGAGACCGGGAGTTCGCTTGCTCGCTTGCTATGACGTGCACTGACCACCAGGGGGTGGCGCAGAAAGAAGGCAGGCCCCGGTCGGCAGCCTGAAGGCCCCCGATCAGCCCTGATCGCCGGCCAGGCCTGGGGACCCTACCTGTGCGCGAATTTCGTGCACCGGGCCCCTAGTGATGATGTAACTCTACTTGGAGATAAATCAAGGGATGAGGCCCTTGAGTATGTTTGGGCTGTGTGTCGCCATGCCACAGTGACACGTGTGCCCGAAAACGTTTTAATAGTAATGTGATTGCAGTGGTGGTGATAATTGGGTGGATTCACGGAAGCATGTTAGGGAACCCGTTCATTCGTTGATCGCATCTGAACGTTTTGAGCTCAATCACTGTCCTACGTGCTTCGAATCCAGTGGGATCCGTGAGCCCTAACTCGGTAGATTCTGCAGGACCCCCATCCCTGCCCCCGAGTGACTGTCGCGGAGAAATTCTAACATGAATGTGTGTTTTTTTTCCGTCTATTACAGCTCCTACGACAACGAAGCAACCATGTGGTAAGTTTGCGTTCCCCGGGGAGAGCTGTGTCACTTCCGAAAAGCACTTTAATGGTTTTCTTCTTGGGGCCACGCTCACAAGAACCCCAGGAGTGATTCTCTCCAAATCTTAAGAGCCAGCGTCCTTGGGGGGAAAGGGGCAGGAGACTGGGACGTCTTAATTTTTGGAGGAGCCTCCATACTGTTTCCCACAGCAGCTGTATCCGTTTACATACCCACCAGCGGTGCATGAGGGTATTGTAGCATTGGACACTTGAAACTCTATAATTTTTAAAAATATGTATTTTAATGGATTTCAGAGAGGAAGGGAGAGAGAGAGAAACATCCATGATGAGAGAGACTCATGGATGGGCTGCCTCCTGCACGCCCCACACTGAAGATCAAGCCTGCAACCCAGGCATGTGCCCTTGACCGCGAATCAAACCCTGACCTCCTGGTTCTTAGGACGACGCTCAACCACTGAGCCACACCGGCCGGGCGAAACTATATAATCTTATTAGCCAATGCCACCCCCAGTAAATGTGATATAAACAAAGAACTAAAATGAAGTCAGGTATGTAAGTCAGGGAAGGATGAGGCCTGGGGTCCCCAAAGGATGACTGTCCCACACGTCTGGAGACACAGAACATCGAGAAGGCCGTGTTCGAAGGCAAAGGAAATTGTAAAGGAAAAAAACAAAAAGTTGTGAGAACCATCACCCACTGGGTCATCAGTTTAACCAGTCACTGTCGAGCCCCCCGACTCGTGACAGGTTTTTGGTGATGATCCCAATGGACTGGCTTTTGCTCTCATGAGGTGCACAGCCCAGAGAGCAGGACGGACATTAACCTAATAACACCCCCCGCCCCCCCAACATGGGAACTTCCCAGCTGGGGTCCTTAGCAAAGCTGTAAAGGGAGAGGAAAGAAAGCCATGGGGGAGCTGGGGGCTCCTCTGATTCCATGTTTGGGGGGACGGGGCGAGGGGGGGTGCGGAGGGGATTTTGCCAGCGATTGGATAGCTAAGGAGTTTGCATTTAATGTAGGTGTATTTGCTCTGAAAAATAAAATAATCTCGCTGTGTCATGTTCTTTCAGATAAAAAATTTGGGAACGTCAATGTGACCTACGAGTATGACAATAATAATAATAAAACATTTCATGCAAAAGTAGATGTTGATGGTAAATTGGAATGTCAACCAAATCAGACATGTGGCAACAAAAGAGTCGATGGCCTACCGGAATGCCAAACGATCAATGTCAAAATATCTGATGACTCATGTGCGGATCCACCTAAAACTTTAGAATTACATGTACCACCAGGTAAATACCCATCGATCACTCCTCGTCTATTGGCGCAAAGAGTTTGTTTTCCTGTGTGCAGCCTTCCCGGGAGCACAGGGCAGAGGGGAGGACGCTGGCTGGACGCTCCCCTAACCCAGTGAACAGTCGGGACCCGTTCACGCCTTCCCTGCTCCCCCTGCCCCTCCCCGCCCTTCTTCTCCTGAGTGGTTCGGACAGATTGGATCGGACTCACCCCGCCGAGCTGTGATCCACAAGAATTCTTCTTTCTCCTCCACTTCATGCGAGTCATTAATACATACATGTGCATATTTATCCTTTTTAAAAAAGTATTTCAATCCTCACCAGAGGATATGCTTTTTTTTTATTAGAGAGAGAGAGAGAGAGAGAGTTAAAAAAAACAAAACATATCAATCCTCACCAGAAGGTATGCTTGTTTTTATTGATGAGAGAGAGAGAGAGAGAGAGAGAGAGAGAGAGAGAGATCGGTTGCCTCCTGTATGGGCCCCGACTGGGAATCGAACTCACAGCCTTTGGGTGGGCAGGACAATGCTCCAACCACCTGAGCCGCCGGCCAGGGTGCTCCATGTTTATCGTTTCAAACACACGTGTGTCTGGAGCACAGTGAAGGGAATGACAACGACAAGGGTTGGATGTTTGTGGCAAGAACAGAACTGCTTTCACACAAGGATGGAGGGTTATAGTCACGTGAGGGCCGTGGGGCAGGTGGTGCTGCTAAGCTGATGCCCGACCGCCCCCGCCCACCCAATGCCCCAAAGCACATCTTTTTAATAAAATTTTTATTGTTGAAAGTATTACCTATGTCCCCCCTTTTCTTCCCCCCCCCATTGACACCCTCCAGCCCGCCCCAGGCCTTCAGCACCTACTGTCGGTGTCCAT